ATAAATTGGTCATTTTCAATCCACGACTGTTTGTGGGGATGCTGCTGTGCGCAATTGGCTGCCGCGTTTCGCCCACAAAATATGCAGTCAATTCACTTTACAGCATATTCTGTGAAGCGCTTTGAGACGTCGAGAAGACATGAAAAGCGCTATATCAAATGCAAGGATTATTATTATTTAATTTAGGGGATTTTTAGGTAGGGCAACAGGAGAAATTCCCTTTTTTTGAATCGTGCCATGAGGTTTTTAACATGCACCTGAACAGGCAGATAGGGCCTCGGTTTAATGTTCATACAAAGGGCTGCATCTCCGACAATGCAGTGCTCCCCCAACAACAACAACATGTATTTATATAGCACCCTTCGCAGAGGGTAGAGTCTCAGAGTGCTTGCACCCAACACTGCACTGGAGTGTCAGCCTAGACTGTGAATGTTACAGTGAGCGCTAAAAATCCCATTGATATTTACCACAAATTTGGGGTTTGTTTAAGCGTCACAGGGTGTGGGATAAGAACACACAAAAAAAAATGGCGAGTCCAGGAAGCCTGGAATTTCTGCCAATAGTTTAAAGGTTAAATAGACCGAGACACATGAACGAGAGCTTTTTGTGGCTCAGGCTACATAATAGATTCCTCTACCCTTATCCCACTGTCGAGACAGCTGCACTCACTGTTGACTGCGCTGACTGGTTATTTACTAAGGATCATCACAGTTCTGCGGACTGATTTTCCGGATCTTAAAAACAATCAATACCTGCCCCCACAGCGCCTCATTACACTGGTGTTTGAGAAGAGGCTTCACAGACAGTGTGAGAGCCAGGTGTTAATTTTACCTCATCTCCCAAGCCCAGACGCATTGCACCAGCTGCGCTTGCTGTCACCGAGTCACTGAGCAAACAACACAGTGCATTAAAGAAGTGCCCACAAACATGCAGGTCGGTGAAAATCACATCACTGGGTTTCATTGAAGATTATAGCCGCACAACACAGCATGACTAGGTCCCATGTTATCTTCCGTTGACTTTCGTTACCGCTGCACAGCTGCAACAAGACTGCCGACAACTAAGCGTTCAGGGACACTACCCCGCGTGAAGGGCGCTATATAAATGCAAGTTGTTGTTGAGCGTCGAAATTTAACACAGAGCGAGGCTGTTCCATTCATCGTGTGCATGCCATGCAAACTCAAACATGGACTGATTTACTCCAATCCCATAGTAGTGGTTCGCACACCCACCTCACAAGTGAGAGGACACAGGTTTGATTTCGGGGCAGGTCGAAACGTTACTTAAGTTTCCTTACTCCACACGCCCCCTGTTTACCTCACAGTATGTAGGAATCCAGTTGTTAGTGGATTGGTGGTTTTCTTCCAGGGCTACTAAGCCCTAAAAAAAAATGTTACTTAATCGACGACTGTTTGTGGGACACCTCTGTGCACAATTGGCTGCCACATTTCACCCACAAAATATATAGTCAATTCACTTTACAATATATTCTATGAAGCACTTGAGACATCTCAATGACATGATAAAGCAGATTACCAAATGCAAGGATTATTATTATTGTTTCCAGAGCTCATTCCTAATCAGTCTCACTCCTTGATTGCATTTTAACCTGTAACTCACTCCCAGCGATCACATTGTTCCATATTTAAACCATCTGAGCTCCTCAATCACATCACATTTTGTATCTAAGACCCAGAAATTTATTACTGTTTTAATATTAAGTGCCATCAATCAGATTTCATCCATCTTCCTGCAGTTTTTAGTGAAATTGGAACAAACTAATTGCAACAGAGGTTTCCTAAGATTGACAGAGGTGCCACCTTACAGCTGAGATTAGAGCTCTTATTTGTATTTGGTACGTACATAAAGGACAGTATCATTTTGGAAGTTAGTTCATTGGGGTAAGTAATGTGACGGTTATTAAAGGTACTAATCCTATTCTGTTTAAAGTAATCACATTGACCTTGTCAAGTATTGGATTACCCAAACAACCCAATACCCACAGTATTTAATTGAAATCTCTCTTTGCAACATCCAGGTGCGTGGCTGTGAGTTTGTTGGTTTGGTTCAATTAGAAGCCCTCTCATTTTTGAGTCTTTGGGTGAATACAGGGTGCAAGCCACATGTCAGTGGAGATTCAGCTCATTGTCTCAGATCAAGGTGGGCCAACTGGTGGCCCAAGGCCCAATTTCTGCCCACCCCTTCCCTCCATTTGATCTGGCCCACCCACTGCCTCCATAACCTGTAAATGTTATGTTATGTTTCTGGAAGGGAAACACAAAAATAGCGAGGAAATGTGCCTATGGAGGGAGGTACTGGTTAGCCTGTTCACCTCACAAGCAAGAGGACCCGGGTTCCATTCTTGAATGGGGTGAAACCTTGAGCAAGTTTCCTTACTCCGCAGGACTCTGTTTACCTAGCAGTAGGTAGGAAACCGATCATTAGTCGATTGGCAGATCACTCCATGGGGGGTAATAATGCACCCCAACCCCCCAAAAAAATTGGTTGGTCACTCCATGACTGGTTGTGGAACACTGCCGTGTGCAATTGACTGCCGCATTTCGCCCACAGAATACACCGTCAATCCACTTTGCAATGCATTCAGTGAAGCACTTTCAAACGTCTCAACGGAGTGATAAGAAGCTAAGCTATATCAAATGCAAGGATTATTAGGCCTGTTTTCCCTAAGGCTGGAGTGACATGGCTTGGAAATTTGCCACCCTGATTAACGACAAGGGTACGCTCTGGGATGTCAGGAACGTGCCAGTGCACTCCATCGAGGTTCCATTTCAAATTCCAGTGATGGGAATTAATGCTCAAGTAATGATACCTCAGGCAAACACGAGCAATGGAGACCGTTTCGCTAATTGTGAAAGATGTCTTGAAATCCAAACTCCAGCAGAGTCCATTGGAGAAATCTAAAATTCAACTCAGAACATATGTGGGGAAACTTGTTAGGCTGAGCAGGTCAAGTTCAGTACAGGGATTATTCTGATGATTTGCTATTGATTTGCTGTTGGAAGCTAAAAGTCTCTCATTATCTGTCTGAAACCCGCTGAAGGAAATTTTGCAGATCGTTCCAGCAAAACGAAATGGCTTTTTTTTTAATATCATCATCTCGGAAAACAACAAAAAAGTGTGGTACTATTGTTTTTTTTAACAAAGAGCGATCAGCCTGACAGGCATAGAGTGTTTTCAGAAGATTGAATACTCAGAACAGGCAAATCATTCAGACCTATCACTCCACTAGGAAAAGATGGACTGTCGCCTCATATATTAGTGACTAGACAAATGCTGTCGATCCGTTAATGGCCATTCATTATTATTGTTGAAGATAAATATCCCAGGGACTGTTCACAGTGTTACAGGGAGAGAAACATTGATGAATCTTGCTAATTGGCACTCAGGTGTCAGCGTGGCTCAGTTAGTGGCACTCACACAGCATCGCGTCAGAGGGATGTGGGTTTGAACCCCACATCAGCTGTGAACTCTCATAGTCTAGGCTGACTAGTACAGTGCTTTGGGTGTGCTGCAGTTTCAGATGAACCGAGGTCCTGTCAGCCCATTCAGGTGAACGTTAAAGATCCTGTGTGTAAGTGCATGCACCTCACGAGTTATCGAACCCCTTTAATTTTTTTATATTAGTCCAGGGAAGATTGGTTGTTAATTTCCTGATTAAAATTTTAAAAAATTGGTCATTCACTTCATGGTTGTTTGTGGGACATTGCTGTGTGCAAATTGGCTATCATGTTCGCCTAAAATACGTTTGCCTAAAATAGACAATCCCTACACTTCCTAGAAAAATAAGGTGCCATATCAAGCATTAGGATTATTATTATTAAGAAATCTTTTCCTTTGGACAGTGAAAAAAGTGAAAACAGCCTTTCAATGATCAGTTATGCTGCTGTGTAATATCCTTGTAATCATCCTAGTCTGACTCTCCATTCTTATTAACCCTTTCTATATTGTCAACCATTGAATCAATAAATCTACTCCACCCTAGTTCATCCCACTCCACCTAACCTATTTAACTCTTCCTAAGTCGCACTGTGTGACAATCTGTGTGTGACGTTGTGCCCACAAAATACACAGCCAATCCACTTTACAGTATTTCCTGTGAAGCGCTTTGAGACATCTCAATGGTGTGGTAAGGTGTAATATAAAATGCAAGGATTATTATTATCTTTTCGGAAAGAGAAGTTTTTCCAGTGTCCTGGCCATCGATCTCCCAATGTCCCATTCGCTTCATACAAGATTTTGTTGTGCTCAAATTCGCTACTACATTTCCTTACAACATTCCCAGTCACAGTATATTTTGTGAAGCACTTTGAGATGTCCTCCCAAAAATAAGAACATAAGAATTGCTGGACGAAAGAAGACCAAGGTCCATCCAGTTCGCCTTCAACATCCTGGCAGTCATATGCACATGTCATGTCCCAACTATATACTGTGTCCCAAGATATTATTTCCTAAAAGAAATCTACCTAATTTGCTTTGGAGAGAATCAACACTTTCTGCTTCTATCATCTCCCTAGGGAGCCTGTTCCGTACATTTACTACTCTTTCGCTAAAATAGTGTTTGCTATGTATGTATGAAATGTAGGGATTATTAAGAATTATAATCCATTCATACCTTGCTCTTCTGAATTCTGCAGTACTCCATGTTCCCAACCACATTCTGCTCAATCCAATTCTGATCTTTCCTCTTGATTCTGCCACACGTTTACATTATAGACGTGCAAACAGGGATAAAGATATTATTGGTCATTTGTGGCATTCATATAACATATAAGTTGCAATCTCCGGTGTTTCTTAAATCATGATCTCTTAAATTTGTGGCAGTCACCAAATAATGTTCCTTAATTCTCCCAAGATATCAAGCATGAAGATGAATACATCTACAGCCATATAAATTACACACTTCATTACTTCCTAATACGCCTGATAGTTTGTTCCCATTTAAACAGCGCGGTTATAATATCTTATTTTTTTTCACTCAGGCAATTCACCGTCTGATGAATCAGAGGAACGTGAGAAAGATCCCAAATCGTTGACCTTTCCAGCCTACATTGCCAGCCTGCTGGACTCTGGCGATGAGCTCCTGGCATCTGGAGTCAGAATGTATTGTGGGCACAGGGGAACTTGCCCTTCCTGGTGCCACATGTGCCATGCAACACAGAGCCAGGAGAAAGAAGACCCCGTTCTACTGGAAGTCACAAAGACTGCTCCATTGTACGAACTATTCACAGACAACGAAACACAAAAGGTATGTTTATATACAGTAACAGGACCCATCGACCACAATTTTGAGTCCTGAGAGAAGGCGCCTCAGAGAGGACCTCATAGAGGTGCATAAAATTGCATATGGATTGAAAATGTAAACCCAGTGCAATGCCTTATGATGGACCAAGACAGTAGAACAAGAGGACATAGCAGTTTCAAAAGGCAATTTCAGGAGAGACACCAGGAAGTGTTTCTTTACCTAGAGTGTAATTAACGACCGGAACAGGTTGCCAGGAAGGGTTGTTGAAACCAGGACACTGGATCCATTTGATCCTGTGATGAGGGGATGGAGTGAAGAGATCAAATGGGTTGAAGGATCTTCTTCATCTGAACCAATTTTTTGATCTTGTGAAGATCACTGCACTACAATATATTTTTTCTTCTACTAGGATTATTCTCCTTGGAGCAGAAAAGGTTAAGGGGAGATTTAATAGAGGTGTTCAAAATTATGAGGGGTTCCGATAGGGTGAACAGGGAGAAACTGTTTCCACTGGCAGGGGCGTCGGTAACCAGAGGACACAGATTTAAGATAGTTGCCAAAAGAACCAGAGGGGAGGTGAGGAGAGCTTTTTTCACACAGCGAGTTGTTCGGATCTGGAATACATTGCCTGAAAGGGTGGTGGAAGGCAATTCAATGACAACTTTCAAGAGAGAAGTAGATAGGTATTTGGACAGCTCTTTCAAAGAGACGCACAAACACGAAGGGCCGAACTGCCTCTTTCTGCGCTGTATAATTCTATGATTCTATGATAATCAGCAAGGTGAAACTAAGAGGTCCCAAATTTCTCATGGTCTTAAGCCTAAAATCATGAGAAATTTGGGGCCTTTGAGTTCCATCTTAGAATATAAGATGGTGCCAATTTTTAGAAAGCTTCCTAAATGTGGCCTTAAAAGAACTGTCGCAATCCAGTTTGCAAGGGAAGACTGAATTTAAGAATTTTCCAAAATTCTCCACAATCTCAAATTTGAAAATAGCAGTCTTAAGGCTAAGATTTTCAGAATTTCAGGCCTCGGACCCATAAGATCGAAGAATTGCTTTGACCAGCCTAAGGCACATGCTTTGTTCTTTGAGCAATCCATTACTGAAAGTATAAGGCAGCATCTTTCCAATTCAATACCTGTCGCCTTGTACTTCATTGTCTGCTACTTCTGCGTATATGGAAATCTGTGTAAAATTCATCGTGCCGCTGGTTTGGATTAGGCTCGGATCAGACATGTTCCTGTGTTTTTTAGGCCGTCCAAGAAACTATGCTGAGCTTGCTTTGGTGCACTGGAGGTGGTGACGTTATTGACGACTGGTGCCGATGTGATTCTACAACGTTCAGCACTGATGGGCTCCCAAACTGCGCTCCTCTCCCACAGCCTGTGTACGTACCTGCTCTGTGTGCAATGGGCAATGGGACTCGGGTGCTCTCAACTATACTGGAGACCGGGGTATCGTAAAATGACAGGAGCGGTTTGGATGAGGAACGCGATTTGAGCCATTTAATCTCAACCTTCCAAAATAAAACCCTGCCCTCTCACCATTAAGTGTGTCAGCCTGGCTCAGTTGGTTGCACTCTCATCTCTGTGTCAGCAGGTTGTGAGTTTACAGCCCACATATAGTCATATAGTCGAGGCTGACACTCCCAACGCAGTGTTGGGGGCTGGTGGGGGTTTGCATTGTTGGAGGATCCGTCCTTCAGATTAGATGTTAACTAAAGGTCCTGTCTGCCTATTCAGGTTGACCTTAAAGATCCCATGGCACTATCGAAAAGAGAAGGGACTTAACTTTCTGTGTCCTGGTCCAAATCCCCCAACTAAAATTGGACATTCATTTCATGGCAGTTTGTGGGATGTTGCTGTGCACAAAATTGGCTGTTGTCATATTCGCCTACACAGTCACTCCACCTCACAGTAAATCTGTGAAGGATTTTGAGACATTCTCCCAACATTATATCAAAATGTAACAATTATTTATTATTAACGTGGCGTTTTAGAACAATCCGAATTTGGCAAAATGTTGAAATCAGCCAGTTTTCTCCAGTTCTTAAAAGAAGCTTACAGAAAAGTAACTTCAAATTGAGACTGTATGAGTTCTAAAATATTATATTATTATAGTAAAATCTGTGTGAATTCCCACCCTCCCACCACGTGTGTAGAGGGGGATTAGGATGCTCTGAATTATGTAGTTAACAAATCCTTTTCATTTGTTCTCAATTCATAATTAAGGCTAAATATAAATTTCTATGGTACACATGCCTTTACACATGATACAGTGTATGATAGACACTGGTATTTGTTGATTTTCTCACTATCTGTGATTGAGTGCTAGTTAAGTGCTGTAGAATCATAGAAATTTAGACCGGCTCTCAGAGCAAGATGTTTATTCAATCCCACCGCCTGGCTTATCCCCATACCTCCTCAAACCTCTTATTCATTTCACTGAATAACAAATAAAACATGAAGCTAGGTACAAACAAACCCATAAATGTAGCTGTCAGTGTTTTTTTGTAAAGCTGTTTCTGTGTTGAGCCACTTATCAAATGCTTTTGTACTGTAATCTTTGGATTGGTGACATATCTAGAATTCAGTGATCAGATTTTAATGATTTATCGATGTCCTCTCACTGTGACTGAGTCTCGTCTGTGATTGAACAGACGATGCATTATTAGCAATCATCTTTGAAGGGTCTCCATATCTATATACAGTATTTTCCAAGTGGTCATTGGGCTAAGTTCATGGTGAATGCTGGATCTTTTTTGGCATTTCTTTCCCGGCACCTTTAGGGTTTATACCTATCTTCATGTTTTGTTTGTGAATGAGCGAGTCAGTGAGTGGGCGAGTCAGTGAGCGAGCGGGTCAGTGAATGAATTAATTCTTTCCATCTGTGTGTAGTCAGATATCTTCCCATTTCTCTTGTTCTCTGTCACCTGTCATGGTAAAGTGTAGCACAGTGGAAATCAGAGTGAGGTATGTACAGACCAAGTTATTTTTTTTCCAATGGGGTTGATCACTGATACCTGTGTTAGTGAATCTGGAGTGTTTGATTCTGTGCCATTTCCAGCTGTTTTAGTTAGTTTAGCTGTTTGCTGTGTTGGTCAATGTCTATGTAGATCCTGTAGATAGTCTCAGTCCCTATAGAGGCCAATATCTAAGTAGTATTAACTGTTAATGTAAAGTGTCTCTATTATCATAATAATAATAATAAAAATAATAATAATAATGTGGAGTCCTGTAGCTTAGTGGTTAGTGCACTCGATTGCTGGGCAGGGCGAAACATTGGGCAAGTTTCCTTACTCTACATGCCGCTATTTACCTAGCAGTAAGTAGGAACCCGATTGTTAGACAATTGGCGGATCGCTTTTCCAGAGGTAATTATCCCTTAAAAAAATAATAATTTGGCCACTCAATCCATTGTTTGTGGAACACTGATGGGCGCAATCGCCTAGAAGAGGTGATAAGGCACTATATCAAATGCAAGGTTTATTATTATTATAATCCTTGCATTTAATATAGCACCTTATCACCTCATCGAGACATCTCAAAGCTCTGCACAGGATTTAGTATAAAATGGAATGACTGTGTATTTTGTGGATGAAACATAGCAGTCAGTTGCGCACAGTAATGTCCCACAAACAGCCACGGAGTGAGTGACAAATTCTATTTGGGGATTTGTTGGCCAGGACACCGGGAGAAACTCCCTTCTCTTTTCAAATAGTGCCATGGGATCTTGAACAGACAGAAAGGATCTCAGTTTCATCCAAAGGACATCACCTGTGACAATGCAACACCCCCAGCACTGCATTGGAGTGATACCAAGTCCCAATGTAGGACTTAAAACCACCAACCTTCTGATTCAGAGGCGAGAATGCTACCACTGAGTCAGACTGCCACACAACGTTGAGAATGGCAGTTTCTATGTGCACTTATGTTCAGTGTCTGTGTGTATTCACTGTTAATTGACAGTGTTTGTGTGGTATTAGTTGTGAATGTATGGGTGGGGTTTGGGGTGGGAGATTACCATATTGAATGGTCACTGTTCTCACTGGTAATTTCCTTTCCCCAGGTTGAGACTGTCGCCTTCCCACGAGCCGAGCAGCACCTTGGTGGTTTTGGAATGGGACCACAGCGAGCCTCCGATAGGCGTGAAGGTCGTTGACTACCTGATCAGTTTGGAAAGAGTCACCATCACGGATCACACAGAGATGTCCAAGGTTGAGACAGGTGAGCGCTGTTGTTGGTGGCTGGCAATCTCTTACAAACACGCAGGCTGGACGTGGTTTAATGCTGATCATTACAGTCGAGTCGGTATCAACTTATTCAATATTCTGTTGGACTGAACAAAATCATAACACTATACATATTAGAACAATAGGTGAACTGAACTTCCCTTAGAAATACTTCCAGACCGTTCTGTAAGGCATTTACAATTTCAAGGATAAAAAAAAACTTAAAATATCCAATATTTTACTTTAATTTCACAGTAGTAAGTTTTTTTAAAATTAAATTTTTTTTNAACTGTTTTATGTGCGAAATTGAATCACAGAAGCAACAGTGACTGCCGGTGCTAAAATATTGCATTGCAACAGCCTCTTCTCATTTGACAATCACCACCAACAGCAGCAACAACTTGCATTTATATAGCAGACAGCGGCTCAGAGCGCTTTCACCGTTCACCTTTCATCAACTCGCCCTGAGCTCCCATTGGGACAATCACCCTATCCATCAAGCCATCCTGCACTCTTATTGCACTATTCACCTGTCTCTTCATTCCGGAGTTCAGGTGCTGGGTGTAACATTATTTGATCTATTGTTTTGTCGGAATCACTTTCTGGCAATTTGTTCCAGTTGATTACCCTCTGGGTAAAGACAAACGTCCTGGTATCTGTCCTGAAATTGCCCCCCATTACATCTCTAAACCTTTTGGTTCCACTGTCTTGTCTGAGAGCAGACCCTTATTGTCGGACAACACGTTACAAGTGTTAGATGATCAGAAACACACTGTGCTGAAAGCACCTGTCTCAGCAGTGAGCTGACATGACACGATTCACTGAGTATATAAAAATCAACACAGGCAATTTATCGCACCGCTCTTAACCTCTAATTTTGTGCGTAACATAAATCCGGTTTGTGCCTCGATTACTAATCAGTCTGAGCATGCTGCGGTTTAGTTCAGTATATCCACTCCACCATCTGATGCTGTGGAAGAATGTTTGCAGTTGTGTCGTCCACTGACTGTTGTGTCTTATTAGAACACAATCTGGGAGAGATGATCTCCTGGCTCAGCAATGGTCCATGCTGATTGAAACAGATTTTTGTTGAGAGGAGGGAGGGGTAAAGTAGTATGCTTGATCCGACTCTAAACGTTCCTGGGGAGGTTGGAAGGGAGGTGGAATCGCAACAGCCCTCTGTGATGGTCTCAGTAGTCCGGTCCTTAAGCCAGGCGGGTCTGCAGTATTCTAGCATAGCCAGCTTGGATCATGGAAGTGCGTATCAATCACTGGGGGCACGGAGTCATCCCACTCAGCTCATGTTAACCCTGCAAGCCAAAGCCGTAAAGGGCAAATGGACAAGCAGTGGAGAGCTTGCCAGTCCGTGCTTTCAATGGCAAGCTACGTGGTTTAGTTAGTTGAACTCCAGCAGTTATCCCACTGCATAACCTGGGGTTCCCAAGCCAAAGATAGGTAACGATAAAGACCTTGAAATCGATCTGCTGAGAGGCAAGGAGCCAGTGGAGCCTGACGAGGAGTGGAGTGATGGTCATGTGGAGTCTGGTGTGGGAAGGGATTTATGGGGGCGGCAGAGTTTTGAATAAGTGGGGACCTTGCAAAAATATCATTGGTATTTGTGGTCTGCATGCCATCTGCCTACACAGCATGTTTTATGAATGAGCTAGGTGTTGCTGAGGAATTCCTGCATGTTCAGTGAGTTTAGTTTAGTGAGGTTGTATTGATCACAATGGATACTGAGATGAATAATAATAATAATCATTGCATTTGATATAACGCTTTATCACGTTGTTGAGACGTCTCAAAGCGCTTCACAGAATATATTGTAAAGTAAAATGACTGTGTATTTTGTGGGCGAAACAGTGTGTTTTATGAATGAGCTGGATATTGAAAACACGCACCTCAGAGTCTGAAGCTCCATTGATGTATCGACAACTTGTCCAGGACCTGACATTGACTGGCAGAGGCCAGCACTTTCACACACACACACACACACACACGCAAACACACACACACAGACCTACGAGCAAAGCCTAATTAATACTCGCTGATGGTGCACACTATGCGGTGGATTAAATCAATCTTACACCGTGCCAGAGACGGCAGATTTAGTTGGATTTTTACTGCTCTCACATATAATTGACACATCCGCAGTAAATGAGGAGTGACAAGGGAATCAGCAGCTGTGGTTTCCTGATACCGTTCTGACATTCAAAACTGAGTTGTTTTTTAATATATATATATATTTAAAACAGAAAAGCACCTCATAAGAGATTTTGTAAAAAAAAAGACATTTGAAGCTTTAAGAAGGTCTTGGGATTATTCTTTTTAAAGCAAGTTTTGATCTACGATGTGTGACAGCTGCACATCAATCATCAACACTATTGGAGGTCCGTGGAGAGGACCTCCTGAAGTGCGAGCAGCAACACGACGCATTGAGCTTCTAGATAAATGGGAATGTTAAATGTTTGAAAAGCTTGCTTAGTAACTTGGCCCAATTGAGGTTTGTTTCATACAGATAGCTGGACCTCGTCCACCTGTACTATTGAGAATTTTTCTAAAATTCATAAAAGGGAAAGGAGGGAGGGATTAGAGAAATTTACAGATGGGTGAGAGTGGGGGGAAAGGAAAGAAACTCTTTTTTCTTGCTCTTAAACCTTAAATCTTTTGCAATTTGCTATTGTTACAACAAGCCAATATTCTCTCTGACATGCTCTATGTGTTTCACTGAAAGACGTTCAAGGATACCAAACCCCCACTTAATCCAACACTCCAGGTCCAGGATACTGCTTATTCATATTTTGTTTTCTAATGGGCCAACTTTATAAAATGCCCTCTGTTAAAATGCACACCTCCATTTAATGTTGCCAAAGGTCCCATTTGCTGAATTGTTATTCAGAAATATATATTTTGCTGCAGCTCACGTGCATGTTCTTTGTACAAAGTGAAGCTAATCTTTCCAGGAGACCAAGTTTCATCCATGGTTGGCATCCCAATTGGACAGATCAAAGGCTTTGAGATTAGATTCATTGTCAATACAGTTTGCCACAAGATATCATAAGCATATACAGTAACTATTGTATTTTGACCTATAAAAAGCGAACTTCAAAGCAGAGCACCGCTCTCTGTTTACTCCCTTCTACCTCCTTAAATCCAACAGGAAATTGAATATAGAATCTGAGTAAGACCCTGGAATGATCTGTTTAGATCTAACAATGACCGTTACAGATCCCCAAAAGGATGCCCTGTTTTCATAATCTTGGATTTCTAGGTTTGAGTCCATTCAGCTCTTTCGAGAACAATAAAATGTACACCTTCTTGGGGTTGAAATGGGGAATTCTCAATGAGGATGTACTGGCAAAAAGGCAGGCTGCTCTGCACATCAGATATCTGATGTATTGTTGACGACTGACCATCAATGAGAAATGGTCCTTAATCCGATGAACCAGAGACCTCATGGTGTGTGTGTTCCGAGGGTGACAAGTAATATGCTGAGATCAGCCTTCTTTATTTACTTCAAATAAGACTACAAATGTTAATTAATAACAGCGCACTGATTAATTAAGTCATTTCATTTTCCGAGTTAAAGATAAAGTAGGTATCTTTTAATTACGGGGGAGTGGGACTAATTTGGACGACTCTTTCAAAGAGCCAGCAAGGACATGATGGGCCGAATGGCTTTCTTCTGTGCTGTATAATTCTATGATTCTGTGATAGTTCCACTTAGAAAAAAGCTCATTGTCTGGATAGGCTTGTAAAGAGGCTCAAAGGAACAAACTGAATCCAGAGCTATAATTTCTCACTGAGTGAAACTCAAGTCCTGCACAGGCATATTCTGTTTTCTGGAGTGTTTGAGGAAACTTCAAACCAACCTCAGAGAACGCACTCCTGTTTTTAGTTTCACATTTCTCATGTCCCACACCAGCCATATTTATATCTGCACTGACTGACATGACCTGTTTATACAA